TCTTTTGCATATCTATTGAGATAGTCAGATGGTTTTTACCTTTAGTTGTGTTTGTGTGATGAATCACATTGATTGATTTGCCTATGTGAAACCAATCTTGCATCCCAGGTATAAGGCCTACTTGTTTGTGTGGATAAGTTTTATGATGTACTGCTATGTATCATATAGCTTAAGCTGATTTAAAACAAAGGCCTTAGACTAATTTTTGGTTTTCTTTCTTGAAATAAGCTAATGGCTTATCTATGTAAGCTTTTTTCTTAAAAGAAAAATTTTAAAAATCTTGTACCTAGCACAGTATTGTTACAGGCTTTACATGTAACATTTTATATGGTAGTTTAGGTCTGTCAGTTTATTAATTTTGGACAAATTAACAGTTGGCTCTGGCCTTTTGCTGTAACATGCCTGTATCACTCACTTATCCCTGGCATTCATGCAGACATATCACTTTTAGTTCTACTGTCAATTTGAAGTTCAGGCTTAGCGTAAATTTTTGTCAGGTAGCCCTACTACCTGGAGTTTTCTTTCTTCCTTTTTCTTTCTGTTTTAGTTTGAAGTTTTTGAGTGAAAGTACCAGTGTTCAGGTTTGAATTGTAATAGTCTGTATATTCAACACTTGAAGTAAATTCTATTTTGTTGTACTCTTGTTTCAAAGTACATTCAAGTAGGTTTTCTGAAATATAGAAATAAAATTAAAAAGGAAATAACTCAGTAAGACAAAAAAAATGGAAAAAATAAAGAAAATCTATATGACATACCGAACATTTTCAAGGAAACACATATTCAAATTTTGGAAATTGCAGAAGGAGAAGAGGTGCAAAAGGGCATAGAAAACATACTTAATTAAAAAATTACTAAAAATTCCTCATGTCTTAAAAGTGATATATGCAACTTGATACAGGAAGATTTCAGGTAAATTTAACCAAAAAGTTCTTTCTGAAGCACATTATAATCAAACTGTCAAATATCAGGCAGAAAATTCTAAAAACAGTAAAAGTATCATGTCACACATAAGGCAATCCTCATCAGACTAGTAGCAGATTTAACAGAAGAAACCTTACATGCCAGTAGAGAATGGAATAATGCATACAATGTGCTGACAGAAAAAAAAAAAACCCTTGCTACTGAAGAATAATATATTGAGCTCAATTATCCTTTCTAAATGAAGGAGCAATAAATTATTTTCCAGAAAAACAAAAACTGAAGGAATTTATCACCAGTATACCAGTCCTACAAGAAATGCTTAAGGGAAGAGAGAAGGAGCTTCAAGATGGCTGATTGAAAGCATCTGGCACTTGCATTCTTCACAAAGAAGAAAATAACAAGTAGAATATCACACTTCAAATAGAGAATTTGAGAACACTGGAGTTAAACATAAAAAACAGGAAACACCAAGGCATGGAAGGAGTGGAAAGTGAGGCAGACAGCTAGGCTGGGGTCAGCTGGAAGTCCAGAGAGTCTCATTAGTGTGGGAAAAAAGATAAGTGAAAGATCCCTAGTGGTCCACATTTCCATCACAGACTACTGCATACCTTGGCATGGGAGAGCCGCTTGACCCTCACAGGCCCTAAGACTAGCATAGTGTACTGCCTGGAGACTGTATGATGACATTGATACAGGGAGGAAACTCTGGGCCACACACCTCTCACATCTTAAGCAGCTAGAACATGGTGTCATTTTGAAAGCCCATCTCCCACCAGATTGCATCCTGTCTTGGGTCCTAATAGCATTTGCATCTTCACATTTCTGAATCCCCATTAACTTCTCCCTGCATCTACCCAGAGGGCTGCAGTGCTGTGACACTGGTTAGATCCTTTGGAGCAGCAAGGTCTCAAACACTTTACCACACACAGTGTCCTGCACACCAGAAAACAAGTAGTGCAGCACAAGGGGAGGCTGCCTCCAGGACAATAGAAGTGAAAGTGCATTTTTCTTGGGGTCTAAAACCTGCCTGCCTTTGGTTAATGCCACTGATAGCAACCCCGCCACTAGCAGGAACATGTGCTCTGAGGATAGGGTCTCTCCACCTGCAGCCTCCAGTGGGGATGGAAGAATGCATCAGTGTCAATGACCCCAACACCCAGTAGCTGGGTTGATGAGCACTTGTATATGCCCTGAGGGTGGCTCTCGTTGCTGTTGCTGCCATTTCCACCACAGTCATTGCTGCTAGGGGGTGAAACACACACTCCACAAAACTGTGAACCACCTATCTGCATTTCTGCCACGGGCTGCAACCCTGACACACCAGCAGTAAAGCCTTAGTGTACTTGCATTTGCCTTAAGGATGGGTTCTTCTCACTCACTGCTGCCACTTTGGCTGTCACCTGAACAATCTTTCTGGGGGTCTTGAAATTACTTAGTTTTGGCCACCATAGCCTACACTCATGTGCACCACCACTGGCCAGCAGACAGTTCTGCTCATCCTGGAACCTCCTGCCCTGTAGTGCCTGAGCAAGCTGCCCAAAGACCTGGCGTTCACCCTTCCCCAACCACAATGACTAACATCTGTGCACTCCTCCTGGGGGCCTGAGGATGGTCCTTTTCTGCCTGACACTATCATTACAACTGGCACTCATCCACATATGCCACCTAGGGGCCTGGGAACTGGCCTGCCAAACTCATCACTGCCTCTGCTTACACAAGTACATGCTGTTTGGAGGCCCAAGGATTGTCTCGCCATGGCTAGGACCATAGCCCATGTCATACATACTGTCAGAGCTTGAAAAAAAAACTGCCTATCCACTCATGGCTGCCACTGCTGCCCCCCAAACGAGCTGCCTAGAGTCCCAAGAAACAGTCCACTTGGATTCACTGACACTGGTACTTGCATATAATGTTTAGGGCCCAAGAATAGCCTAGGCACTGAGAAAATCACAAACACTGCTGATGCTGTTTACAGTTGAAAAAAATCATACAGAAACTACACTATTTCACATACTCAGAATAAAAGATAAAGTGCCCTACAAAACCAACACCATAGCTACATCTTTAGGAATAAGTCTTTCCTTATAAAAGTCAATCCAAAAAATTGGAAGAAGTGACTGTTACACAATATGTATGAGTATGAATGTGATGACACAACATGAAAAAGCAATGAAGGATGACATTTTCAAAGAAATGCAATATTTTATCAGCAACAGATTCCAATAACAAGTTAACCAGGTGCAGAGATGGATGCCTGTGATCTCAGCTACTCAGGAGGCTGAGGTAGGAGTTTTGCTTGAGCCTAGGAGTTCAAGGCCAGTCTGGGCAGCATAGTGAGATCTCACCTCAAAAAAATTTAAAAAAGAAAAAAAGGGAACTATACAGAAACCTAGAACTGAAGAATTTAAAGAATGAAATAAAAAATTTAAAAGCTTCAACAATAAAGTAGATGAAGCAGAAAAAAGCTTTTAGAACTTGAAGATGGATCTTTTGAAATAACCTAGTCAGACCGAAAAAAAGAAAAAAAAATTAAAAAGCCTATGTAATTTAGGACAACATGAAGCCACCAAATATCTAAATTTTGCCTGTTACTGAGGCAAAGAGATTCAAAGGCAAAGGAAACTTACTACCAAAATAAAAGCTGAAAATTTCGCAAGTCTTGCAAGAGATTTTGGTATCTTGATACAAGAAGCTCAGAGATCCCCAAACAGATACAGTCCAAAAATGTTAGTTAGACTCTGTCTCAAAAAAAAAAAGTACTTTTTAACATGACAAGCTTAGAAAACTGAATGAAGCTGATGTTACCAAGAAAGAGGACTGTCTTTGTCTAGTAAGTACACATGTGAGAGGATTTAGTCTATTTCAGTGGTGCTGATTACACAATATTCAACATTACACAGGTCACTTGGAGATTCTAAATTCATCATTAATTTAATGCTGGCCTAGGGACTGGTTAGAAAGTAATATGTTTTTGTATACTGATGATCTCTTGTACTCAATATTCAAAACTGTCCCCTTATTGTGGTCAATTTGGTGTCATATCAATACCTCAGTCCTAATTCAAACTAAGTATTCCTTATCCATTGTTTTTTTCCTCCTAACTTCCTAATTATGAGAACTCCAGTCTCTGAGCCTTGGCATATGCATAAGCCTTACTCTCTGCTTATCTTCTGTGGGCAATTAATGTTTTCATTCTTCATCATTGTCATTTCTCTTCATTTCGCATATTTTTATTTATTCCTGTACTACTTGCACTCTGGAACAAGCTGTCTGTTGCCTCCCATCTAGATTACAGTAGTGTGGGCCCATCTTGTCTTTGTAAACCCATCATCTTTTTCTATAATTTATTATAGGTTTTGTTGTCATATTGCTTTTTTCATGTTGGTTTTTTACAAAATTTCAACTTTATAATGAATCTACAGGCAATATTGAGTCCATGTACCTTTCTGACAGAAGAAGATAATTGCAGACTTTTGAATTAGGCTCATAGAATCTAATGATATGTCCCTAATTTACCTATATTTATTAATTTTGATTGTGGTTGTCTACAGGTAATAATGGTTTTAACAGATAATGTCTTTATTCACCTCAAATATAGGGAGTGTCACAGAGGAGCAATCTAGGAATAATATAGCAGCCCCAAAGCAGCAGAGAGTCAAGTGCCTTCTATTTTTTCACTATATTTAGTATACATACCTTCATTTTCATGATTAAATCCCAGGATGGGAGTCTACTCTATCTCCGACTTTACATTTGTGTTTTGAGTATGGAAGAGGAAATAGAGGAAGTGGATCTAGAAACCTTCTGCTTATATTTTCTTTGGCAAAAAATATGCTATATGATTCAGCTGCAAAAAACTTGATAAATGGAAATTTTTGGCAAGCACGGAATAAGGGAGTAGGAAATAAAGTTTAGGCCAGTTGGTCTACAGCCTCTGCTACACCATACAGTATTTTTTTCTAGTACACTTTACAGTTTCTATGTTGGTAACTATATAACAATGTGAGTAATTTTGAATTCATTGTAATCAAAGATGCTGGTAAATAATTTGTCAGATAATTGCATCAAATCATTCCTAGGAAGAGCACAACGAACAGTCTGAATTCACTATTGAAAACTTGGTGAACACTGCATTTGACTTGTTTGGAGCTGGGACAGAGACGACAAGCACAACCCTGAGATATGCTCTCCTTCTCCTGCTGAAGCACCCAGAAGTCACAGGTATGATCACAGATGATGAGTTAATTGATTTTCAGAAAAGATATAGGGAAGGTGCTGCTAGTTTTCTCCTTCCTGTTCCTCTTAGAGAAGCTTCATTACTTAAACTGCTGTGTTCCCAACTGTAATCTGTTCCAATTTAATGGTATGATTAAAATGGGATATCTTGGTCTTGCACAGTGGCACATGTGCAGTCCCAGCACTTTGGGAGGCCAAGGCTGGTGGATAACTTGAGGCCAAGAGTTCAAGACCAACCTTGCCAACATGGCCAAACCCCATCTCTACTAAAAATACAAAGCTTAGTGAGGAATGATGGCACACAGCTGTAATCTCAGCTACTTAGAAGGCTGAGGCATGGGAATCGAATAAATCTGGAAGGCAGAGATTGTAGTGTGCCAAGATTGTGCCACTGCACACCAGCCTGGATGACAGAGTGAGATTTTGTCTCAGAAAAAAAAAGCGAAAGAAAAAAAGTAAAGAAAAAAGCGACATCTTTGCACAGTAGAGGAAGATAACTGAGAGAAATGAAGACAACATGGCAGTAGCAAAAGCAATAGAGCTCTGGTCCAGTGTGTCTGGATTTCATGGGCAATGATTTATGGCAGGAAGAGACAACATAAATTGGCCTGGGATTGCATGTTGGTTTTATTATGAAAAGGCCATTTTGAACAGCAAGTATATTCTTGAAGATAACTTTTCTCATACTCAAAATTTCAGGTTAAAATACTGGGGTAGGGAAAGTGGAAACTCTCCTTATTGAAGCATAAATGATAATCCTAGAAATGTAGTGAGGTTGCCTGAGAGAATTTCTAGTCTGATAAGTATTCTAAAAAGTTAGATTCATAAGAAAGATGATTCTGTTTACTAGAAGAGGTACCTAAAGAATGCTCCATTTAGGCAGAAGATGTACCTGAGACAGTTTCCATGAAATTGGTGTTGGACAAAATGAGTATTTTTGAGGGGGGGGTGCCGATAATTTTATCTTTTATGAACAACTTTACTTTAGAAATTTACTTTTAAATACTTTTGGTTGTGCTGCAGATAAGAAATATCTCCCCCCACCAGCCCTCGCCGTGTCAGTATCCCCCATTGGAATGACAATAACCTAATTACAAGTAAGAATTAGGCCCTTTTTTGAACAGTTATTAGCCTATAGAGTCCTAGAAGATTTTTTTCAACTTTTATTATAGATCAAAGAGTACACATACAGGTTACATGGGTAAGTTGTGTAACACTGAGACTTGGGGTCCCAACCATTCCATCACACTTACAGTAAGCGTAGTACCCAACAGATGTTTCTCCAGCCCACATCCTCTACCTCCCTCCCCCATCTAGTGATCCTCAGTGTCTATTGTTCCCCTCTTTAGATTCATGTGTATTTTATGTTTATCTCCCACTTATAAGTGAGAACATGTGGTATTTGGTTTTCTGTTCTTGTATTAGGTTGCTTAGAATAATTGCCTCCTGTTCCATCTATATTGCTGCAAAAGATATGATTTGTGTTATTTTCTATGGCTGCATAGTATTCCATGGTGCATGTATTTGTCTGTTCTCATGTTCCTAATAAAGCCATACCTGAGACTGGGTAATTTATAAAGAAAATAGTTTTAATAGACTCTCAATTCCACATAGATGGAAAGGCCTCACAATAAGTCTCTGATGGAGACTTATTCACTATCATGAGAACAGCATGGGAAAGGCCTGTCCCCATGATTAAATTACCTCCCATTGTGTCCCTCCCATGATATGTGGGAATTATGGGAGCTACAATTCAAGATGAGATTTGGGTGGGGACACAGCCTAACCATATCAGTGTGTATTAGTCATATTTTCTTTATACATTCCACTGTTGATGGGCCCTTAAGTTGATTCCATTTCTTTGCTATTGTGAATAGTACTACATTGAACATATTGGTTTGTGTGTATTTTTGATAAAATACATAGTTTTTTGGGGAGCATATACTCAATAGTGGGATTGCTGGATCAACTGGTAGTTCTATTTTAAGTTCTTTCAAAAATATCCAAACTGTTTTCCACAGTGGCTGAACTAGTTTGCATACCCACCAACAGTGTAAAAGCATTTTCTTTTCTCTATACCTCACCAATATGTGTTGTTTTGGGCTTTTTAATATTAATAATTGCCAGTCTGACTGGTGTGAGATGATACCTCATTGTGACTTTGATTTGCATTTTTCTGATGATTAGTGATGTTGAGCATTTTTTCATGTTTTTGGCTGCTTGTATGTCATGTTTTGAGAAGCGTCTGTTCACGTCCTTTGCCCATTTTTGGATGAATTTTTTTTTTTGTTGTTTGCGTGTGGATTTGTTTAAGTTCTTTTATAGATTTTGGATATTAGACATTTAGATCCTTTAAGGTAGGAAGAGTACAGGAAATAAACAAATTTAACAAATTTCGAAAACACAGAGAGAAAATGGAGGAATGATAAATCTGTACAGAGAGGATAAACTTGTAACCAAAAAGTCAGAGGAAGAAAATTTAAGGAGCCTGGATCCAAGATGGCCGTTTAGGAACAGCTCAGGATTGCAGCTCCCAGTGAAAGCGCAGAGGGTGAGTGGACGCCGCGTTTTTATTGCCCACAGACTAGGAAATTCCCGGGCAGAGGAGCTCCACGGTCGCCAGCGCGGCTGTTTCGGCCAGCGCGGCCGTACCGGCCGGGGCCGCTGCTTTGCCCCGCGCGGCTGCTTTGTCCGCGCCCCGGAGCCGCGGTTCTCCGTACTAAATACACCGGTCCGGGGGCCCTTTTGGCTGGCGATTGGAGCCACGGGAAGTCGCCCATACGCTGGTTCAAAAAGGGGACTGAGCAGAGAACCAGGACAGTAGATTCCAGGGCAAAAAAAAAAAAAAAAGCGCCACAAACCTCAGTGCCGCTGTTTAAGCCAGCGCAGAGAGTGGCCACAGGGGAAAACAAACAGACCCCGGTGCCTCTTCAACAGGCGACTGGAACACCAACTTAAGGCTGTGAGGCAGGGAGCCAGGCGATCAGGCTCGGCTGGCCCCACCCCCACAAAAGAACAGCAACCAGAAACTCTGGATTGAGAGTTTCACAGCAAGCGCAGCTGAACCCGGGACGGTCCAGCTCTGTGGGGGAGGGGCGTCCGCCATTTCCGAGGCAGCCCGCCGTTGCCAAGGCAACCCGCCATTGCTGAGGCAGCCCGCCGTTGCCAAGGCAACCCGCCACAGCAGAGACTCCACCCCAACAGAGGCGGGCCACCATCCCCAAAGCAGTTCTAACTACACCCATATAATCAGGACTGCAGGAAAGTTCACTCGGCAGCGGGGCGCAGCCCACAGCAGCTCAGCAAAGCTGCCATAGGCCGACAGTGACTAGGCGGCCTCCTTGCTGGGCTGCGTACGTCTGAAGGAAAAAAAAAAAGAAGGCGGCAGCATAACAGAAACTCATAAATAAAGCCCTAAATCCCTGGGACAGAGCACCTGGGAACAAAAAGCAGTTTATGAGTTCAGCTGCAGCAGACCTAAAAGTACCTGCCCAGCAGCTCTGAATGAACAACAACAGAGCTCACAACTCACCATTTGAGCTCCTATAAAGAAAAGACCGTCTCCTCAAGCAGCTCCCTGACCCCTATATATCCAAAAAGACACCTCATAAAAGAGAGATCAGATTGACACTAGGCGGGTATCCGTCTGGGACAAAGATAGCAGAAGAAGAAAACTGGTAACAACCCTTGCTGTTCAACAGCTGCTGCAGGTGAATCCCAGGCAAGCAGGGCCTGGAGTGAGCCTCAGCAGACCTACAGCAGAGGGGCCAGACTGTCAGAAGGAAAACCAAGAAACAGAAATAACCTCATCATCAACAAACAGAACGTCAATCTGAAAGATTTGAGACCCAATCTGAAAGCCAGCAACTACAAAGTCGACAGGTGGATAAATCCTTAAGGATGGGAAGAAACCGGCGCAAAAAGGATGAAAACACCCGAAACCAGAACACCTCTCCTCCTAAAAGGGATCACAACTCCTCACCAGCAAGGGAACAAGGTTGGATGGAGAACGAGTGTGATGAAATGACAGAATCAGAATTCAGAAGGTGGGTAGTAAGAAACTTCTGTGAACTTAAAGAACATGTTCTAACCAAATGCAAAGAAACTAAGAACCTTGAAAAAAGAATGGACGAAATGCTAACAAGAATGGACAAAATAGAAAGGAATATAAGTGAATTGATGGAGCTGAAAAATGCAACACGAGAACTTCGTGAAGCATGCACAAGTATCAACAGCCGAAAGGACCAAGCAGAAGAAAGGATATCAGAGGTCGAAGATCAACTCAATGAAATAAAACGGGAAGGCAAGACTGGAGAAAAAAGGGTAAAAAGGAATGAACAAAGTCTCCAAGAAATGTGGGACTATGTGAAAAGACCTAATCTACGTTTGATAGGCGTACCTGAATGTGACGAAGAGAATGAATCCAAGCTGGAAAATACTCTTCAGGATATTATCCAGGAAAACTTCCCCAACCTAGCAAGGCAGGCAAACATTCAAGTCCAGGAAATACAGAGAACACCACAAAGATATTCGTCAAGAAGAGCAACCCCAAGGCACGTAATCGTCAGATTCACCAGGGTCGAAATGAAGGAGAAAATACTAAGGGCAGCCAGAGAGAAAGGTCGGGTTACCCATAAAGGGAAGCCCATCAGACTCACAGCAGATCTCTCAGCAGAAACCCTACAAGCTAGAAGAGAGTGGGGGCCAATATTCAACATCCTTAAAGAAAAGAACTTTCAACCCAGAATCTCCTATCCAGCCAAACTAAGCTTCATAAGTGAAGGAAAAATAAAATCCTTTGGGAACATGCAAGTACTCAGAGATTTCGTCACCACCAGGCCAGCTCTACAAGAGCTCCTGAAAGAGGCTCTACACATATAAAGGAACAACAAGTACCAGCTCAACTAAAGGGCAAAACAGCCAGCTAGCACCAAAATGGCAGTATCAAATTCACACATAACAATATTAACCCTAAATGTAAATGG